TTAAATCAATAAAGATTCAGCCTATTAAACTGTGCTCCACAGACGGTCCATTGGGAAAAACTTATAGCAAAGTCTGGACATTTTCTTGATCGATGGCAGGAGCAAAGACCATAATGCGATTATATCCTTCCATAAGAATGCTTTGGGACAGGTAATTACAACATTTAAAATAAAAAATAAAAGCAGGTAGGTGATTTTTACCATGATTTGGAAGATTTCTACCGTGGTTGCAACTTACCAAGAAAAGGTTGTTATTGCTAAATCTGAATCTGCTCTGAGCATCGCCGAACATGAGAAAACTATAAAATGCAAATTAGAAGCAAGGAAGGTCACACCAGCAAGGAAGATGTTCACCAGGGCGGCTGTCCTTCAGCAAGAAATGTTTGACACAATACATTGGCGACGATTCCCCAAAGCATCTTTAACGGATGGTATTCAACGACCTCCAACAAACAAGAAAGCGGCGATTTCCGGGGCCACTCCCGCCTTCCCTCGCTCGGCCGGCAGGGAAGGCCGCGCGGCGTCCCGGTTGCCCAGCAACACTACGGAAGCGCCGTCCGACCCAGGAGGAGCTTCGGGGACTCGAACAGATGGAGCGTCGCCGCTGCGTTGGGGACGGTGAGCTCGAGGCCCTTTCCCGGGGCCGCCTCTGGGGAGGAGGTCGGCTTGGAGGACTTCCGTATTTTACCTCAAAGCGATGAACGTAATAACGTAACAGGACTTTATTTAAACAATAAAACCAATCCCTTTCTAAAAATATGATTTTTTATATTTTATGTTTCTTTTGCCCTTGCTCTTGGCTGTCATCCCTAAGGCAGGGTTTCTCAAGCTGAGCGGCTTTAAGCGACTTCAACTCCCAGGATTCCTCAGCCAGCATAGCTCGAGGAACGCTGCGCTCAGGGCCAGAGCCTTCGCGGTGCTAGGTGTGTTCTGGGTCTCGCTGAGGAAGGGGCGCTCTGCTGTCTGTTGAAAGCCGTGGGATTATTTAGAAGAGGTCCCAGCAGTTAGTTGCGGTCTCCTTGTCCCTCCCGCGTCTGTCGACCTTTTGCCCCACTCAGGTCTTACCCAGGCGGGCGTTGTAGTCATGCGCTCTGAAAATCTGGCGAGGGTGGTGGTGGAGGTTCATAGACAACCTTTTCCAACCTTTCCAAAAGGTTTCCAACCTTTTAGTTGCCTCTCTCTCTAAATACTCCTCATGCAAATGGGATGTTTCTGAATCTTTGAGATTTTCAAAACGGTTTATAATATACTTATAGTAATAATATCGAAGCCCCTTGGAAAACATATGCCCGTAATTATTTTAAAATGTACTAAATATTTTGGAAAGTTTTGAATTGCAGGCTTAAGTATGACTTACAACATTCTTTTGCAGCATAATTTAAATCATTTTTATACCAGTTGAAAAGGGGAAAAATAAGAATGGGTAAAGTGTGCATCAGATATCAAGATATGGGGATATAATCTAATTGTAAAAGGGGGGATATGTATGGTAGAAACACTTTAAATGCAAGAGAAATTTATTTCAAAATTGTGTGATGTTAAATAGAATTAATAATAAGTATAACCTGAGGTGTTTGAAACACTTGATATTCTGGGAGTTTATTTACTTTTTTTTTTTATTACAGACATATAACAAGCAAAAGAATCAGTGATAGTACAATAAAAACTCAGTTACTTTTTTTGTGCCTACAAGTCAGGGTTGACTCCTGGTGACTACCTGGACTAATTCCCGTAGTTTGCTTGGCAAGATTTTTGGAAGTGGTTTGCTATAACATTAATTACATTTAATTACATTACAGTAATTAAAATTAACTTAAGAGAAGGGGGAAAAAAGGATCCATATAATGTTTGAGAGATCCTTAAACTTAATATTATTAAATTTAGACCTAATCTAAACTTTGTTAAACTATTACTAAATTTTTTCCTTCTTATTTTTTAGAAAATAAAGATGTTTTAAAAACTGATAAAGAACACATATTCTGAATCCATTCTTTAACAGCAGGAATATACATTTCTTTTCAGCTATGTAAAATAACTCTGCCAAACCCCAGACTCCAGAAAAGCAAAATTCCTTATAAAATGTCAAATTTCATATTTTGGGAATATAATTCAACATTACAGTTATAACCTTTAACTACTGTATATTTTTTCCAAGGCCATGTTAACATATGTCATAATTTGAAACAAAAAATGAGCCATGACTGGACATGACCAGCTCATGTGAATCAGAAAGCCCTCATTTCTTAAAACTTGGACCCAGTGATTTTCCAAAACTGGATGTTCTAATTCCTCATTTCACATTTCATATACGTTACCAATGTTAATCTTCCTCCTGTTTTTACTTTCATATAAAATTGAATTGTTGATTTCAGTCAAACTACGGCATCTCTTAGAATTCTAGGTAACTCATGCTGCCAATTCAGGTAAATCAGAGTTATTACATAGCCCCTTAAAATAACCATTATGAGTCAAATGATGTAGGATAATTTGTCCCTTGCTTGGCCCAGAACTTCCAATGAAACATTTTCCCTGCTATTTTCAAATTAGGATTATTCCACTTACCAGATATGTCTAATGGCTTCCAGAACTGGAAAAGATGTTCCCTGTTTACTATAAATTGACCCTAAAATTTGCAAAGTTTAACCCTAAAACTTGCCAAGATTTCAAAAGGGAGATGCCTTTTGTCAGAGTCTGCAAAGTCTCCTTTACTTTCTAATTCAGCCAAAATCTTTTTCAAAAAGATTTGAAACACAGATATTAAACAAAAAGCTCAGTGACAAAGTTGAAAGTCTTATAAATTACAGTCACCATCATTAGGGGACAATCCCAGTTTAGCCAGAGAGACTTGAGGGGTCTTGACTTGCCATAAATTATTTCTCAATAATTTATCTGTGCAAAATACCTAATAGGGTACAAAAGCATCTGTAGCACCAGGTTGGGGACAAATCAAATTTAGGAGACTGATAGATCTTCCAAATGTTTCAAGCTGAAAATTTTAATATTTTAATAAAAATTATAAATTTTATTTTTGGAATCTGTATAATATTTAACATGAACTTTTCCATACAGGTAGTCCTTGTTTAGCAACCATTTGCAGTTACGATAATGAAAAAGTAACTTTACAATCAGTTCTCACATTTATGACTTTGCAAGTCTGTAAAGCAAAGGAAAGCTGAAGAGCATAAGTACAGTCATGATTTCACTTAGCAACTGTTTCACTTAACGACTGAGTTGCTGATCCCAATTATGGTTGCTAAATGAGGACTACCTGTAGTAAATTATGTAAATAGTTTATATGCTGTTGTATATATTTAGTTTAGGCTTCTAGGTTGAATTTCATATAATAGACCATTTGTATTAGTGAAGTCAAAACTGGTCCAAGCAAATATACTTCTTTAAATAAAATAAAAGGAAGGCTTAAGGGAAGTTGGTTTATAATAAATGTTATGCAGAATATTTTGGTAATCTATGATAATTACTGAGGTGAATGATATATTCCATTCTACAGGTTATGCTTTATATCTACTAACTTGGGTAGAATATAATAGGAGATATACCCAGAAAATATAATATATTTAATGATAATATATAATATAATAGGAGATATACCCAGAAAAAGTTTAATACCTCCAAATATGTGGAAAGATGATCATATTGAAGGGGTATTATTAGTTAATACTAGAAACCCTTATTTTCTATTTAGCAGAGTTGCAATTGGGACTGGCAACTCCATCACTAAGCAATGCGGTTGTAAAATGAAATGTCACATGACTGCACCTGACTTCATCAGTTCTGGCTGCAATTGTTAAGCGAATCACCCACGGTTGTTAAGTGTGATGTCACATGACTGCGACTTTCTGCTGGCTTCCCCATTGACTTTGCTTGTTGGAAGCTGGCTGTGAAGGTCGCAAATGGCGATCATGTGACTGCAGGATGGTGTGACTGTTGTAAATGCGTGCCGGTTGCCAAGCGCCCAAATCACGAGCACATGACCATGGGAATGCTGTGACAGCTGCAACTTTAAGGACAGGTTGTAAATGTCCTTTTCCAGCACTGTTTTAACTTTGAACAGTCATGAATGAGCAGTTGGTGAGCAAGGACTACCTGTATATATAAGTCATACTTAAATTACTGAAACTGATATAAGTGTGTGTGTACATATATTTATAATTGCGTAATTGTGTAATTGAATAATGTATATCATATTAATATAGTTATAAAATATAGATACAGACTGTTGTTGTTCAGTCGTTAAGTCGTGTCCGACTCTTCATGACCCCATGAACCATATCGCACCAGGCCTCCTTCACTGCCTCCCTGAGTTTGCTCAGTTTCATGCTCATTGCTTCACTGATGCTGTCTAACCATCTCATCCTCTGCCGTCCCCTTCTCCTTTTGCCTTCAATCTTTCCCAGCATCAGGGTCTTTTCCAAGGGTCTTTGCATTAGGGTCTTCGCATTAGGTGACCAAAGTATCTCAGCTTGAGCTTCATTATCAATCCTTCCAATGAGCAGTCAGGGTTGATTTCCTTTAAGATTGA